ACATAAAGGGATGAATAGGTAAGAGAATCCCTTGCAGGACTGGAAGTGGTGACTGAAATGGCTGCTAAGGGATAGGAGATGCAGAGGTCGTGCTGTGCCCCTGACTGATGTTGCGGCACTTAAGCTGCAGTCTTTGCTTGTTGCTGCAGCACCCACGGCAGTTTAGCATATGACCAGAAAGCAAGATTGTTGAGGAACACCCAGCACCAAAAATAGAGAAGATTGCTGAGATAGGAAATAGCTTGTTTTCCTGTGGAGAGAAAGAACCCAACGGAACATGTGGGCTTGTTTGAAGAGGGGCTGAGGTTGATAAGGTGATTCCATTGTAGGTTCTGCTCTCTGCTAAAGTAGTATAAGCCCTGTAGAGCCATTCTAGAGACGTGCTATTATAAATTAAATTAAACCCCTTAATTATGTAGTAGTGTACCAGGAGAATTAGTTGCATATGTATATGGGGGAGGTTTTTCCACTCTCTGTAGGGAGATGAAAGTGAGTGTTGTGTAGGAGCTTAGGCATTTTTCAGGATATTATGCTCTCTACAACATAAGTATATTAAAAAGGCTTTGGTTGTGTTAATGTGAGTACATTCTTTTAGAGCACAAGGTTATTCACCCAGCAGGTAAAGGCTTCAGTCGCTTAAAACCCAAACAACATACTTGCATTTGTCCATAACATTTTTGTGTGTTTAATATGGAGTCTGGTGCTGTAGTACACAGCACAGGTACAAATACTGGACTATTTGGTGCACAGTATCAGTAATATCCTAGGTAACCCTGTTTGTGTTCAGATGCTGTTACTGCTTCTGTAGAAATAGTGAAAGTGATGACCTGAAAGACATAATGCTGTTGAATTTCTCACCATGTTTTAGTCTTTGAATAAGGCCCACCTGCACCTTGTTTTCTAGCTGTGCTTGTACACAGAGGAAAGGCAATAATTTCTCTCTTTAATGTTTTCCAGGTTATTCAGAATTAATTCTCATGTCAGCAGAAAGCTCAACGATCACAGTCCGTCTTGTTCGCTCTTTTGAACACCGGAACTTCAGACCTGTGGTGTACCATGGAGTTAACTTGGATCAGACAGCAAAGCAGTTCATTACTTTTGTGCGGAAGGGTAAGGGGTGGTTGTCTTATTCATTCGTTTCAGTCCCATGCGTTGCTGTGTCTGCACAAGAAAGTGGAGGGAAGCCAATGAATGGGAATTCTGTGGCTCTGGTAGAGATGCCAGTTTTGTGTTTACATCCCCTGTGTGCTCTCCTCCTTTGGACGAGAAGTCTGGAGTTAATAAGAGCTTCCCTGGTCAGTGTGCCATGCCTAAATTTGGATAGACTGCTCCCCCTGCCCAAATCCCCGTGTTTAGTCAAAAAGAGAGGAGGGCATTGCTGCATTTGGCTCAGTGCCTGAGGCTCCTTGAATGGTGCTGTCAGGCAGCTATTCATAAATTAACAGGAGTAAATTAATTGAATTTAGAGAGCCTTTGATCCTTAGGAACTACACCAGTATGTGGAATGTGGAAACGCAAGTCTGTTTTGCTATTTGTGAGAAGAGAGGATCTTGAAAAATTGTTTTTGACACTGTGAGGTCTCACTGCATATTTGCTTCTGAGTTTCTGTCTCCATCTTGAGCTTTGTGGTGCAGATTTACTCATCTATGGGCTTTATGTTGTAGAAGCCTAGTTGAAAGTGATAGTGTATCTAAAGGTTAATTAATGTAGACCAGCCCACGCAGTGACTCAGTAGTTAGGGTGTTACCCTAATCTTGCAGGTGTATTTCTATACACCTACATGGAGACATTTGAAGGGTGCAGAATAACATAATTTTAATTTTTTTTTTTTTGCATGAAGCCAACTTAAACAAGTCTCGAACTGTTATAGCTGATAACATTTGAGCAACTCCTAGGGTATTGCCCTGGGCCTCATGGCTTTATTGTGTTTTCAGCAACTTCCATACTTCTAGACAGTGATAGGCATGGCAAGTTCTTAGGGTGCTTTTAGACAACTACAAGCACTTTCAGAACATACGGTACAGCTGCTGTTATGAAGAATAAAATAAAAAACAATGCTGAGAAACTTGCTTTTGATGTGTGCAGTATTGCAACTTGCTGTTCCTTGAGACAAAGCTAGCGTCTTGAACAAGACTGTTTGGAACCTCATTCCACAGATGGATAGTGCTGTTCTGGTCCAAAAGCCATTTTCCTTCCATTACTCTAATCTGTTTTGAAAAGGGAATTTGAGATAAATTGTTAAACTATTGATGAAATTATGGTTTCAACTGCCTTGCTGTGCCTGTAGGTGCACCCCGTAGGTGGGTGGGCCTTCCAAGACCATGGTTAAATCCCAAGTGTCACTGGGAACACTGGCAGCAGGGAGGGTGTTAGTGTTCTTGCAGTTGCCTATAGGCTGTGTCCTGCATGCAGCTAAAGAGTTAATTTTCTACAGTTTGGCGTCCTTTTTTGTGGCTGGTTTGCATGGCTGTGTTTGCTGAACAATTCAGTTATGAATGACAGTTGTCAGCTGTTTGTATAAGGTAGAGAGAGATGCTGTGCAAACCATTAACAGGATGTTCCTGGCAGCTTTCTGAAGGATGAGACTGCCATGATCATATCCTAATTGCATTGACTCTCTGTCATCATGGGTCGTTTTGTTCAGAGGGACTTTATGCTCAAGTGAAGTGAATCACATATGGACTAACTATAGAATCTGAGCCAAAGGTTATGTTTTAGTATTTGATGCTCAAACAAGTCTCCTGTGTTACAGATTTATTTTGATGTCCAGGATGCATACATTGCACAATAGTGGAAAATAAAATACTGGAAATTAAAAAATAAACTTTATTTTAACTTGGTGCTTTTATTTTAATAGATGTGTCTTCAAGAACAGGACTTCCTCCTCCTTTTAAAAATTACAAGTATGGTAGGTGTTTTTTTTTCTTCTTGTTTTAATTCCTATAAAATGCGGACATAACATTTTATACCAATTTTTATATAATTTAAAAGATAACTGCTGTAGAATACTCATGCTAGTGGCAGTGCCTGCCTACATTTGCAACTCTAGCCAACTCTTGTAGCTGGCGTTATACCAGTGGGATCACATCTACAGAACTTGACCATTATTTTGAAGTTCTGTATTAATCTTTGAATTAGGCTACATGTTATACATTATTTGCTAATTGGTACTGATGGGTTTTGGTATTAATTTTTTATTAATTTTATAAGTGCCTTTTAACTCTGTTTTTATTCTAGTGAGCAGCTTGTGATCTCAAACGCTTTGAAACTGTGGTTCTCTATGTGCTTATGTATTTCAGTATCCATTTACTAATTGTGAAGTCAGAAAAGATGGTGAAGTGAGAGTTGAAGGCAGTAAATAGAAAATGCTTAAGACTTAATGTACTTAAATAATTTACACGATATAAGAGAACTACTTTGCTCAATGTAGATGTGAAAGTTCTTAAATAAAAGCTGATGGAATGAAATAGCCTGGTGTGAAATTTAGGCTGACTTTATCCTCTAATGTAAAACTACGTGTATATTTCCTTTTTGTGAAGATTGGCATGAACATCTGCAATTCATCTGTTTGGGACAGAATATGCTTTCAAAGTAGACTAAATTACTTCCTTTCTTGGAGTTTGTTAACTCAGATGTCAGTAACATATCTTTTCCTAAACTTGGCAATTCTGAAAGTTCCCTTGGAGTTTTGCTGTGAGTGATCCTCTGTTTCCCATGTTCTTGGAGTTGACAAACTCCTTCCTCTACAGTGATTCAAAGAATTGAATGAGGAACCTACTTAATACATGTGAATGCTAATAGACTCTATTTGCCTATTTAAAAAAAAAAAAAAAAGCAAGCTTTCATTCTGGGTTCTTGCTGATGGTGAAAGATATAGTGCAAAATGAAAGCAGAAAAAGAGTTATGGATTAAGATTTATGATATGTCAGTGGCAAGGGCTTGAATGTTACTGTTATTTTTAATATATTACTTAAGGTCTTAAAAGCTAAGTAACTGTAAGTTTGAATTTGGAGGTGCCCTTCCTCCCTCTAATGTCTGTGGCTTTGGCTAGATGAGGGGGCCCTATCTAGAACTGCTGCTATCAGTTGTATTCCTGGTGTTGCCTATCCCTGCTGCTAGTTCTTTTGTCACTTAGACGTCAGTTTAGTTTTTCCCAAGGCACATATTGTGGCTGAGCACCTGATTGTGCTGTGGAGGACTGAGCATAATGTGGGTGAAAAACACTACAGAACTTTATAACCTGTTACACCAGTTAGTGGGGGCCTACTTTTAGTGCTGCTAGCTGCGTGGAAGTTTTCACACAGAAAAATGAGAGCCAAGTTCCTCACCTTTCCCTCAGGCTGTGAATCATCCAGGTTTATGTTTTTGGCATCTCTTGTGTGCTCTACTGTCTTTCTTGTATTTTGGTAATGAAAGGGCAGCGAGACTTCTGCGTGAATAGTGCTGGTAAGGGTCGATTTTTCCTTCTGCTTTGTCAGTGCCAGAAATCTCAGTTGGACCTGGCTGTTTCTCACTTTGCCTGTTTCAGCTTCCTTCTCTCCAGAGTTCGGCACCACTTTGTTCTCTCGACATCATATATAACGCCATCACATTTTTCCTCTTGCTTGGTGCTTTAACTCGCATCTCAAAGCTTCTGACTGTATTTTCTCTTCATTTCTTCATACACATTCTTGTCCTTGGTCTAGAACTCTTCTCATCTTCCTACCCTGTCATTGCCATCTTTTCACTGATGATGGCAGCCTGAGTGGCAACTTGTTTCATAAGCTGCTTTTCAATTTTTTTTTTCTCCATGAATGTGGAGCAATATGGTAGATATTCACAGAATCAGACTTAGAAAGTGGTTTCTTATCTGTTGTCATGGAAGATCTATTACCAGAAAAGGAAAGGTAAAAAAATTTGGAATATGGTTGAGTGGGACTAAATGGGGATGAAATAGCAAGGGCTGTGAGAGGACGTAAGGCTTTAACTAGGATGAGAAGAGACTGCAGTTTCATCTCTGTTACAGAGTTAGAGAAGCCATTTAATAACTCAGATGAAGACACGGTAAACTGCTGGATGCCAGTGGTGCAGTTATCAATAAGTAAAATTGAGACAATAGTTCAGAGAATGACTAGGCAAAGACTAGAGAAAAGGGCATGCGACAAAGTAGATGGAGAAGCTTAAAACTAACAGGCAGAGGCTGGATTGTATTTGCTGTGGTAGAAAAGTTTCGTAATTGCAGTATATTTTTGCTGTGATTGCTTGGTCTTTTTGCAATGCTTCTAAGCAAGATGTATCCTCGTAATTGCAATTTAGTTTGTGTCTTGCTTCTAATACTGCAGTTATAACAGCATGCTAACGCTGCCTTCTCAGTGACCTCTGCAGTGGGAATACAGAGTAGTTTTTACCTTATGTGATGTTTTAAATAAAATGTCCAAACTGGGCCAAAGTGGTATGGAAACAAAATTCTGAAGGGGAATGTGATTTCTGTTATTCTGAACATCTGAATACTTGCTCTTGATAGTTTGAAAGTTGTTTTAGTCTGTATTTAGCTTTCTTGCATCCTTCTCTTACCAGACTATTTCAACATGTAGTGTTCAGTTAATGCGCAAAACCAAACTAGAAGAGAAAAGGAGCAGGCAAGGAGAACTGGTTTTTGCTTCTTTGCTGGGAAGGGATTGATGTGTTACTCTGAATTTGTTTAAACATAGAGGCTTCATAGTTTGGTATTCATTTTTTATCTTTCTGGCCTGCCCCCACCCCCCCACTCCCACTCCCCCACCCCGCGCCACCCAGGCATCTCACGACTTTCTTTCCCTCTGGATTGTTGCACTCATCTGGTTGCTTTAGTGACCCCATTATTTTCCCCTGTTTTTCCCTTCTGTTAACAAAGCCCTGCCCACATTGCCAGAGAAAAGTGATATTTCTTTTTTTTGTGTAGCATAATTTCTTAAAGTGCTACATTGCACAAACATATCAGAGGTAAGTATTATTGAAAAGGGTATAGAATTAAAAAGAGGAAAGGCAGTACATGTTTATGGAAAACACACTTGCTTAACAAAATTTCTACCACAGGTGCTTTCTTCATGAGAAAGAAAATTTCAAGGAATGATCTGGAGTGGTTAGGTTACTATGTCTTAATGACTTGCTGCCTATCAATTTAACTGTAGTAGTTGACAGTGCATAAATGCTGTTTGTCCTGCCCCAATTGCATGTATAAAACCTGTTAGGTTAAAAGACCCTAACTGGCATATAAACTGATGTGTTTTGACTGGCAGTTGGGATGGTCATCAGTTATTGTAATTCAGCCAGCAGACAGAAGCCCAATAGGATGTGGTAGCTTAATGTTGGATTGACTGGTTTAAGACTCTGGCTGCAGGACTGGGAAATTAAAATGTTTTCTCCTCTTTTAGACTGAATACACAAAATTGTTACTAATAAAAGATTTTGAACCTTACCCCTCTGTCTCTCTTTCCCCAAGTACAATTTTTAGTGTTACCTACCTATTAAGCCTTATTTTAGGAAAACATTGTGTTTTCTTTCAGATACAATGAAGATAATTCACCAAGCACACAAATCCAAGGTATGATGATTAGCTGTATTCTTCCCCTTTTACATGCTTTAATGCAGGCAGATCTCTGCACTGTCAAACAAGACTGAGGCAGAGTCAGGCAGAGTCAATAAATTCTTATTCTTACCTTTGTATTCTGGTTCTCTGATTTGTAGACTGGTGAACTTGTAGTGAGTTTGGAAGATGATGACAAACTGATTTTGAAAGAAGACAGTACGCTGAAAGCAGCTGGAGTAGGTAGGAGTACATTTGTATTGACTGAAGGTGCTGTTCATTGTGGTTGTCATTAAACTGATAACTGACTGATTATGTTTGGATAGCTTGCTGAAAAGTAAATGCTATTCCTGATGCTCTTTACACTACTTGATAATTATTCAGGGAAGAAGGGGGGGATAATGTACATTCAAATCATTGGACTGAGGGCAGTAGGTATCTGCACTCCAAATGTTCAGAATGCAAATTGTGATTTTTAGAGGGTATGCTTATAATTCTGCTGAGAGTAATTTTAAATGATTGACAGATAGGTTATTAGTACCGTGTCTGCTTAGTCTTATCAGTAACATTTAAACTGATGTTTTGGTTAGAAATGTAAGTAGTGGAACCAGTGTGGAATAATGAAATAAGATTAGATTTGTTTAATGTGCAGCATACAGTGCCTGATAGCCAGATTGCTCAGGAAAGCTCAAGCAGTATCGTTTAGAGAATGTGCTGAACATAGCAAAGAGTTGAAACTTGACCTGATTTCTCACATTTTGACAGGGGACTGCATATAGGGCATGTCTTTTGGTAATAATGTAAAGAAATGTCTGTCATGATAAAATTGATGATCCCTGGATGTCCTTTGGGCTTCTCATAAATGTGGCTGAATGACTTTGTGGCAGCAGGGTACTTAAGGGATGTAGTTGCATTCCACCTTGATCTGGACATTTGCTCATTTGAATCTGATTTTCCTAGCTGGAACGCATAACTGCCTGCGCTCTAAGTGCAGGGGCTTCACAGAGAAAGCTCCCTCCTGTTCATGGTGCCCTTTTATTGCTCCCCAGCTAGTGAATGGGATTTCTTTCTCTTAGGATTCTTGGCTCTTTTGTTTCCTGCCATTTACTTTCTGGTTTTAAGTGACTTGGGATGTCTAATGTTTTTCTCTGGGGTGCACTGCAACTGGCCTCAGTATACCTTTCCTAAAGGTCTTTGGGTGTTCCTGTAATATGAATGATAGTTATTCTCTGGCTGTTTGTACTAAACCAGGTCTTTTTATCTGGGAAAAAAAAAGGTTCCTCAGGAAGGAGGATTACTGGCACTGAAGTCCTACAGATTTGTAATTTAGTTAGCAGAAGATTCATTTAAGCATGATTTTTATCTACCTAAGGCATAAGAGGCAATGCAGTTCAGGAGAGGGACTGATGACAGTGCCAAATGTTGAATTAGAAACGATATTGTCCAGAGCTCCCTTCTTTCAAAAAGGTATTGATAAATATTTGTATATATTATCCATCTTTGAAACTATGTTTGTAGCTACAGTAGTGAAACAGTTCAATAGGGTCTCAAAAAAGGTGTCAAAACATTGGAGTAAATGTTACAGTGAAAGGAAATCGGAATAGACCAGCCTGTTCTGTGTCTCTCTAAAGAAGAGGCGTGGCTTATTCAGGGCAGAAAACAATGTAAAGCTGCTTTTTCACCCCCCCCCCCCCCATAACTAACAGCAGTTAGTCATTAGAATATAGTGGGTATTTGTGATAGAAAGGAAAAACTCTCGCTTTGTAAAATGCAGCGTGCCATTATGCCATTTTGAATCTTGGTGTGTTCCAGCTTCCAGCGTATCTTGGTATGAAAATTAGCTAAGTTAGGAGTGCGGTCTTTGTAGTAGAATCTTGAAGATTTTACTTTTCTTCTTCATCAAGAAGTGGAAGAGACTAAACCAAGGAAGTGAAGTATGATAGCACATACCACTGGTCCTCATTTTGTACAGTTTCATTTAAATCAGTAAGAAGATTTGAAATCTGTGGCTGACATATTACATTTTTCCAATATCTAGTCTGGACAAGATTTACTAGAATAAACCAGAGAATTGATGTTAGAAAATCTGGGAAATTCTGAGACACGCAGAACGTTTTTTCTAAGCTGCAGTTGATTGCCCTTGGCACTTTACAGCGTTGGGCTAGAGAGTTATAAATTATGAGGACATTAGATAAGTATCCTCGGGAAAGCCTCTGTGGTAGTGATTATTATTACAGTTATTATCTAGTCAGCAAAGTTAATGCTTGCCTGTTTTTTTTTTTTTTTTTTTCTTAAAAGCAGGGTATGTTAATAAAGTGTTCAGTATTCATTGCAAACAGTCTTGTCTGTTTTCTGGTTGAGATTCTAAAACCCCTTCTGCTCTTTTTTTTTTTTCCTTTTCTACAAGACAGGCAGACTTCATTAACTTCAGGTTTAATTTAAAAAACGAATGTGGAAGTTATTGGCTCAGCACCTTAAAGAATTCCATGTTTAATAATTGTGAAGGCTTTCCATCAGATTTGTCTCTGTTCTGAATTAGTAATGTTGCTGACTTATTGTTTTAGAAGAGAAAGTCCTTGACCTACTGGGTTGAAAGAATTGTGACTGCTCTGAACCTTTGTGGGTCCTTTAGCTCTGCCATATCCCCTGTGAATAATTAGAGGTATTTGAAGGTATTGCTGGAGAAGCCAATTTGTGTCTTTCACTTTGCATATTGTTGAAGCCTCATGAATTAATCATCAGCAGGGCGAAAAATTAACTTCTTCAGACACATATTTTGATGGGTCATGAGGGAGAATGTAAAGTGATCTGTAAAATATTCTACTGATCCTCTAAGTATTAAATTATTATACCTACAGGCTAATTTAATGGAAAAAATAGTTTCTTTTTCCCTTTCCTAACAGAAAAATGCACGAAAAAAAGAGAAAATCATGCTTCATTATTTTTGTAGCATTTGAAGGTGTTAGAAATGCAATCACTTAATTTGCTGAATGCTTATACAAACAATTCTGAAGGCTGTGTTAAATAAATCATGAGGGGTCTTGTGTACATATTTACTTCTATATATTCAGGTTCTTTTTTGGGGGCTTTATTGTGGTTTTTTGTTTTGTTTTTTTAACAAGGTTAGATGACATCTTTAATACTGGAATCTTTTTTGCAAAAATATGAGGGGGGGAAAAAAAGTGTGTGGTGATTTATAATTGTCTTTGACTAAAAAGTTGCCAGTTCTCTTCTAAGATTCGAAATAGTTGGCTGTTGGGTGGGGTTCATTTACTTGTGTGCTAAATATTGAATTTTTTATTCGTTCTAGCAAATGAGACCGAATTAGCATTCTTCTGTGAGGAAGATTACAGAAACTACAAAGCTAATCCTGTTTCGGCCTGGTGAAGATCCCAAGAGATTGTTTTGTTTTCCCATACCTGTTGTAAATTTTCCTTATTCTGCTTAATGAGATTTTTCTTAAAGATCAATAAATCCTAGAGGATTGCTTTGCAAACAGTGCAATTCCCTTCCTATAGAAATTAATTTCTGTCAATATACTAAGGCTGAGAGAGGGAAAACTGGGGGACATAAATTACTTTTTTTCTTTCTTGCATTTCTTTTTCCTTTGCTTGCCTCTTACGATGCAGGCAGTGCAATCTCTGACTTGTGACACACGTTCTCAGCATGATCCTACAGCAGATGTTAGCTACATACGGAGATTATAGAATGCACAGTAAGATCCCATTGCAGTACTAACTTCTAATGGAAATGGAAACGTTTTATGTCCAAAGCACTGGATATTTTGGAGAGCTTGAGAAGAGAATCTCTATTTCAAGTCATAGCTTTACTTCTCTCATTTTCTGTTTGGTCTCTTTGTTTAAATGGTGCGAACTGGCAAGTGTTTCATGCTCTTCACTGGTGAATGCTTTCCTTTACACTCTCTTCCAGCCCACTTTAGCCTGCTGAAAAGGACAAATGGCTGTTGGGAGGCTTTTGTGTTTGAGGACCAGCTCACCTGTTTCTAGCTTTACTTCATGGAGACACCTTCATGTAAGAGGTAGCAACCTGAGTTCTGCCAGGACATCAGTGTGCATAAGTAGGAATTGGGCATTTTTCCAAATGGAGTGAAAGCTTATGGATTCAGTTTTAAGAATAAACCTAAACGATTGCACTTTTGCGAGGAGAGGCAAGATTGCATTTTTGCGAGCCACATGTCTCCAAGACTGGAATTGATTCTTTCCTGCATTCCAAGAGCAAAGTACTCTGTTGCTATATGTTAGTTCTTGGTAATTCCAGGCTTTCCTACTACATTAACCAAATCAAGAATAAGAAAAAATAATCATGCATCCAATTAAGTACCATTAGATAGATACTGCTTATGAAACTGCTTTTGAGGGGGTACCAAGATGGGACACTGTGCCTTTAAGCCTCTTTTTACTGAAATAGAAGTGATGAGGGCTCTCAGCCTTAGCAGGCTTTTTGAGCATAGGCTCTGCTAAATCAAATGAGACCTCATGTGCAATTGCTTTAAACCCACACATCTACCCTCAGCTCTGGGTGAGAGCTGTCAACACTATTTCCGCAAGAGGCTTTCCAGAGAAGTAAGCTTACCATTTCCTAGAGCTTTGATGATTTTTTATTTATTGACATGTGATAGTGAAAGCAGATGTGCGATTTCCAAAGTATCTAAATAGAAGTTCTTTTTGCTTTAGATGTAGGGCCAAAGAAACCTCTATGTATTGTTCCCACCTCATTTTCTTCATCCTTCCTGACATCTCTCTGGTTTATGCTGGTTTTTGGTAGTGGTTGTTACTCAACAGCAGCTTTGCTTCAAACAGAGTTTTATTCTCTTGTGAAAGTAGTCCACCACTTTGTCATCTGTGATTAAAAGGCTGATTGTAGCTTTATCTTGTAAGGAGGAGTCCTGTGTCACTGAAGTCACCTGTGTTCTCTTGGGATTTAGATGCTGTTATGCATGCTCTGATGAATTTGTGAGGAGAACTTAGCACTCGCCTCCTCTTTCTGTCCAAGCTGCCTTTCTGTTTCTGGTACCTGCTCCCCAGACATGGGCCCATATCTCAGCTACCTTCTTACGTAGTCTGTCATGTCTGTAGATTAATCTGGCTAGTATGAGTTTATACTCATCTTCTCAGACAGTTTAAGCTAATGCATTGCACTCCAGAGTATACCATCTTTGTTCAGCCAAATTTACAATAGTGAAGGTAACTTTGTAAGAAGTACATGGCATACCAGAGAGATCAATGTCTCAGACTGTCCTACCAAGGCATCTAGATGATGTCTGTCAGCACACTTAGGCTCTCAGACTGAGCAAACACTGTCATTCTTTTCCTCCTGTTTGAATTTGGTCTCCAGCCCTGTCAGACAGATTTGGATTGGTTTTGTGATCCCTTTTCTCTAAGACATTTGTGTTTGAAAGAGTCACCAAATTTTAACAACTGTTCTTTCTGGGCTAGTACAGTTACAAACGTTCAGTGCCACATTGAGTGTGGCACAGTGAAAGAGCAATTGTACAGCATCAACAAGAAAATGGTAAATGTTTTAATGCAAATATTGAAGAATGATGTGTCTGCCATTCCAGATTAGCTTCTCTTTCCAAGGGAAGAGTTAAACTACTGTTTTGTGAGTTCAGTTCTCTCTGGCAATGGCACTTCATTGGCTCTTTTCTGCAGCAGCACAGTAGAGCCTTTTGTAATGCTGTCAATGGCCATATTTGTAAACTGGTTTCTTCCTGAAGTGTTTTTCTACTTTTTTTTTTTTTTAATTGGACCTTTAATAATGCTTCTTTTGAATAAACCCCACAAAACCATAGATAATAACTCAGAACTTGTTAAGACAGATGCTGTTCCAACATTTTTTGGTGGGATATGGTATAGCCTTGTATCAAAGTAGGTTTAATTCCAGGATTGTTGAGTAGTGAATGAAATCTGTGAATGCTGGCTGATAAATTGCTAAAGACTGAGGAGTCTTTGCCCCTGTTGTTATGAAATCCCCTTTCTATTGAAGGAAACCATCTACAGAGTTGGTACCATGGTTCGTTATCCTGGCAGAGGTCATGAACTGCATCGGTTTACGATTATGTTAATCAACGGTGGCTTCTTCGTAATACATAGTGGGGTAAGTCATACAGCTTTGCTAGTGTTGCTAGACATCGTGGGGTTAATAAGGATTCATCTTTCAGTATGATGTCCTTAGAGCCTTTCACCGCCCCCCCCCCCCCCCCTTTTTTTTTTAAAAAAAACAAAAAGAACAGCATCCAGAGTGGATGCTGAAGTAAGATACAACTTCTCCTGGGTTGTAGCACTGTAGCAGGGAGAGGCAGTCAAACTGGAAGCTGGGGTTGTGTGTGGGGCTTGGGTGTTTCTTGGGGGAAAATATCACTTCAGAGAGACTGGAGTTTTGGTTAGGAGGTGTGGAAGAATAACTACTAAAGGAGAAGAGGGGAAATTAGGAAAGGAATTACCATGAAAAGGAAGAGGAGGTAATAGTGTAACTTAATAAACACACAAAATCTTGCATGTACAGCACAGAAATACTGGAGTAGTGCTGCTTTTTATAGCACTAAAGGTATGAAAACGGTGCATTTTAATAATTTCTGCAATTGAACTCATAAACTGCCGGAATAGGCTTGGTCATGTTATACTTCCTGCATGCAACAGTTTTTGTGTATTTTTCTGTCCAGAGGTAGTTACGTTGCCTCTTGAAGAAACAAGGGCTAAGAAAACTGCTGACATGGATAGCTGAGTTAAATGTTGACAGTTAGCAATGACATAAAGGAGTCTTCAAAAAATCTGATATGCACCACCCTTAAAGTTGGGGAACTGCTTTATCTGATGTAAACATTCTGTCTTAAAGGTGATCCAGAGATATGTTGTAAGCTGTGGTGTTTCACTCCCTGGGAGTATTCAGCACATCCCCTGACAGATCACTTACTTAAAAATGAGCTTGCAAGTTAACAGTCCAAGAGTTACCACAGCCATGACAGGACATATGTGGGTCCTGTACTTGGAAGCTAATAGCCACAGAAATCCTGAGTGTCCAGAATCAAGAATGAAAAACCAGAACACGCGATCCTCATTCTTGGTCTCATGTGACTGATCGGATCCTGGCTTCAGAGCAACGGCAGCTGGCTGGAGGTGTTACAAATGCTTAAGGCAAGTGCTAACTTTTGCTTATTGACCAGTTTGGACTGAGCTCAGTCTTCCTGGTTGGCACCTGATCCTCCTTCCATGACTTCCTTTTTGTAGTACTACTTGGCACAGATTTGCAAATGATTAACAAGTCAAGCAACAATGCCCAGTGGACAACTTTGCTACTTTTCATATTAAACTTTTCCCTAGTATTGACGTTGCTATTGAGTTAGAGAAACACACGTTTGCATGCTTTCCCAGCTGCTTCCCTTTGCTTATTTGCTGATTTGCAGTGCTTTAATGGTTAGGTTTCAGCTTATCTGATATGCAATAGCAGCATTTCCTGTGGCAGTGAATGTATTTTTTTTTTGTATTTGTGAATAAATATGCTTTGAAATAAAGAGGAGACCCTTTCTACACTGTCACTAATAGCACACAATGAAGGATCCTTTTTGCTTTGCAGGAGGACTTGCATAGGACAGCACTATCCGCTGGTTAGTGGAAACAAAAATGTTTTTATCATAATGCCCTGTATCATGGAAGGATACAAGAGAAGTTACATCTGGAATGCAAAAAAAAAAATGCAGTGAAAAGCCAAGACCTATTGCCATAAACTGTCTCTGTCTGCAGAGAAAGCCACCAGATGTCAGCACAGCCTGTTCTTTTATTCTCCAGAATCATGTAAACCAAGAAATATGTAATGTTTATGGAAAATGCTTATCTGTGAATTGGTTTAGCCTGCAAAGTCTGTACTAGGGTTCTGGTGATGAAAGATGAATCTTTCCTTGCAGAAAGTATTTCTTTTTATATTAAAATCAAAAAGCGGCAAATTGAACTGGTATCAGTGCTTAAATTCCTCTTGTTAGAGAGCATCATTTGTGGAGCCAGTTCCAGCGTATCTAAATCTTTGCATGCTGTGAAAGAGGCATTTGCAGAACATTCATTTGAAGAATTGTCTGGAAAAGATCAGTGTTAATTTGCTGAGGTTTTGTAAAGTAGACTTTAAGTACGCCTATTTTTTTTAAACATGAGGAAAACCACCCAGAACAGACATACATTCAAAGCAGAGCAAAACATCTTCAGCATCACAGCTTAAACACACAACAAATGTATCCTCCATGCTTCTGACCCTAAGCTCTTACTATTTCTTCCTTGTAGTGCAAGGGCTGAGGAGAACCTGGCACTGCATTCTCTGGGCCACGCTTTCTGAGCTGTGATGAGCTGAGACGGGATATGAGTTTCAGAGCCCAAACCCAAGCACTGTGCACAGCTTTATGCTGTCGGTGATCGAAGTGTGCATAGATGCTGCCTGGTTAAAAGGTTAAATTTGAATTGTTGCACCGGGACAAGGTGTGACGGAGCTTTCTGCTGAGATCCCTGTCACTTTTCTTGCAGATGCCAGGGAGACTATTGAAGCGAGGGAAGTTAAGTGGCAGGTAACCACTTGGGTGACCTAAGTTCTTCCTCCCTTCTGTTTCGGGCTACTTCTTTAGTTCCTTTCTTGTAGCCTCGTAGCACTAGTGTCATGCTAGGGGTTTACCACAGCTTGCTGTGTATGAGAACTGCGTATTGATTCCAAACTGTCACTGTAAACCTCAAACACCATTCATAATCCAAAGGTGATGCATGGGAGATT